CCAAGTTCCACATCCGTTTCACCGTAAGTAAAAAATAATTTTTATTTCGGCTTCTTTCATGATATATTTTCAATGACAACTATGATTGATAAATATTAGTTCAGTGCTAATATTATATGCTTAAAACTTAACATTGTTTTAGTCAGTTATATATTTTTAGAACAAAATTTCTCTACAAGGTTATTCACGATTTTTTGTGTACCTACCTGATTTTTTTATTTTATCAAGCACCCACATATAGATCGTCCAAATTAAAATACTAATTTACCGACAAAATGGAAAAATTTCTTATAATATTCAAAGAAAATATCTAAATAATATAAATATATTAATAATGTACATAAAAAAATGTTCAGTAATCTTTCGTTTACTTAAAAAAATGTCAATTTGTTTCTGCAAATTTGTTAAAAATTCTAATAAATATAAGTCAAGAGACACTATGCAATTTACTGTAGTACATTCGTTTGTATTATTTATTTATTTATTGCAAGTTACAATCTACTCAATAGAATTATCTTCTTCTTCATGTGCCTTGTCCTTTCCGAACGTTGGCAATCAACATGGCTATTCTGACTTTGTTTACGGCAGATCTGAATAGTTCAGCAGATGACAATCCGAACCATTGCCGCAAGTTTTGGAGCCACTTCTTTGGAATGTCTTGTACTCCCTGAACCCCTTCTGCTGTCTATTTTCCCTTGAAAGATCAGCTGTAGTACGCTATATTTATTTTGTCTCATAACGTGACCCAAGTATTCCAACTTTCTTTTCTTTATAATTATTCCTACCTCTTTCTCTTTACCTATCCGGCGTAGTACCTCTTCGTTGGTCACGTGCTCAGTCCAGGATATACGTAATATACGTCGGTAAGCCCACATTTCGAAGGCCTCTACTTTTTTCATCAATGTTGCGGTCATTGTTCACGCCTCCATTCCATATAACAAAACCGGGAATACATAACATTTAAGAAGTCGAATTTTGAGAGGTAGAGTGAGGCTTTTAGAGGTGAAAATTTGCGTCATGCTAGTGAACGATGCTTTTGCCTTTTCTACTCTTATACGTATTTCCTTCGCTTGATCCCAATTTGAGTTAACTGTTGTTCCGAAGTAGATGTACGAATCCACGTGTTCAATTCTTTCATTATCTAATATCAGTTGTTGTGGTGGTTGTTGGGTTTTACCTACTAACATCCATTTCGTTTTTGTGATATTTAGTCTGAGTCCGTATTGTGCACTTGTTTTTTGTATTTTACTCATTAGGCAACTCAGTTCCTCCATGCTACTTGCTAGAATCACAGTGTCATCATCATACCTTATGTTATTAATTATTTCTCCATTTATTTTTATGCCTTCTGTGCTTTCCTCCAGCGCTGTCTTAAATACTTCTTCAGAGTATATATTTGTTTGATCTCAATTTTATTGGTCAATGTAGATCCTACTTTCAGTTTAGCTATTTGACCCCAATAGAGACTCGCTATTGTTCGAATGTCTCTGTAGTCGACTCCGATCTTATGGAGAACTTCAATTATCTTTTCGTGCTTTACGTTATCGAATGCTTTTGCGTAGTCTATAAAGCATATGTACACGTCTTTGTTCATATCTATGCAGCGCTGGATGAGTACCTGTAGACTAAAAAGTGCTTCTGTTGTCCCAAGAGAATTCCGAAACCCAAACTGCGAATCTCCAATATTATCCTCGCATTTTTTGCTTATTCTGTTGTAAATAACCTTGGTGTATGCCTTCGAAATGTGGTTAATTAGACTTTCCGATGTTGATCACAAGACTTTGCTTTTTGTTTTTTCGGTATGGCAACAAAAGTTGACTCTAGCCAATTTTAAAGAAACTCCCCGCTACTTGATTACTATACTTACTTATTGTTATCTAGTATTACCTATTACCGTTGATTGAAATATTGGATACCGCTATAATATTTCAATCAACGCTATTACCTAGTATTCCTATACCTTATTGTTACCTATTATACATTCTACTCTGAATCCAATACATACCGAGCAATGGTTATGGTGTTTAGAAGGTTTATCCTTATCCAAAAAAAGGTACGCAACCAAAGTTTACAGAAAAACAACTCACAAAAACATATTTACGTACACGTCTGTTTAATTTGTATTTTGAGAACGATTTTCGAAGTGGAATTTGGAACATCAAACTAAAATTATTGCTAATTCCGAATAGAAATAGTAAATTGTTTTAATTTCCCACAAAAAAATAGCTTCAAAACAATACATTTAAAATTTAGTACCGTAGAACGGGGTGACTTTGTTAATTTTTTTTATATTTTCTTACGTAACTTTTGAATGGGTGATCCCAAAAATTTGGAAAAATGTCCATTGGGATTCATCTTCTGTTTATGTAATTTATACTGTTAGTATATATATCTTTAAATTGGGGATTTTCTCAAAAAAAATAAGTAATGGTATATCAAAATTACCCATTGATGTGGGGTCACTTTGATACCCTATTTTAAAATAGCTTGGACGATGCATAAAAGCTGTAATGGTGTCAATGTCAACCCATTTTTAAATCGATCAAGCCAATTTTTAGATATTTCAATTTTAATTTTTGGGCTGACTTTGACAGCTGCTATAGGCAGAATAATTAGTATATAATAAATAATTTTACAGGTAGCTAATACTTTATTCAGGTAAAAAATATTTTAACAAATTAGTAAAACAGTATAAAATAGTAAAAAAAGCCAAAAGAATGTATTTTGAACGGAAACAAAATCAAAGTTATTTTTCTTTAACATCAACTCTGCCAGGAAATGTACATGTAGTTGGTGTTTCATTTGTTTCAACCGATGGGGTCTTCAAAATTGCTAAGATATCATCGAAAGGAGCGTTAAAAACGTCGGTCTCCACAACTTTAAAATGTTTATGGGTCTCATCCAGTCATTTAAGTCCAATGAGTTCGTATTCGTCAAAAGGTAATTTCTCTTGTATCCTTCCGGCATATACGTAATTTTTACATTTTTGTTTACCTGACATAATTTTTACAAGCACGTAAGTTCCAACATTCAATTCAGCAAGGGAGGGTTTTGTATTCATCTCATCTTCATATGATTGGTCCTCCACAGAATCTTCATTTTCAATTTCATTTTCGCTTTCACTATTATAGCTGTTTAGGCTGTCGTTAATCAGAGGTTCTACATAATCAACATCATGGTTGATTGGTGTAATCTTACTCAAGACTTTATTTAGATCGAAAGGGACCATGCCACAAGCCTCGAACCCATTCTTCAAAACTCTCTTAATTGCACTTTTTTCACAATCTCCACATTTGTACTCAGTTTTTGCAATTGTCTGATCCATTAATTCCAAGCATTTTTTTAATAACGACGGAAATTGATCTTTAGGTACACCAGTAATTTTTGGGTGTCGCAATTTAAATTCCGTCAAAACTTTTCGCCAAGAGACTTTCATGGGTTTAAAAAAAGACACATCCAAAGGCTGGCATATGTGTGTTGAATTACTGGGAAGGCACGCAAATTCAATATTGTGCAATTCACACAATTCTAAAACATGATCTGAAAAGTGAGACGCCAAGTTGTCGCCGATCATAACTTTTTTACCTTCCAGTCGTCTTGCGTGGGGTAATAATATGGTCTCAAACCAGTCTGTAAAACAAGTTACCTCCATCCACCCATTTTTTGTTTGGTTATATCTAGCTCCTCTTGCGCAACATCCACTACTACAACAAGGAGAGCCCTGTGGACCTCCTAATGTCCATGCATCCCACATATGTTCGCTGCGATATATTATATAAGGAGGGAGTAGTGTACCATCAGCAGCACCGCACATCATTATTGATGTGGCGGCTTTACTGTGATTAGTGAATTGTTCTGGATATTTGGTCTCTCTTCTATAAAGCAATCTTCTTTTCCCCGGATCATCACTAACGTTGGTTTCATCGTAATTGAAAACGTGTGATGGAGGGCAATTTGAGAGAGTTGTTCTTAAATTATTGAAATATGATTCTATCGTTTCTTTTGTGACACCTGCCCAAGCTCTAGTAATGTTAGACGCAAGTCGTTCAGAGATTTGCTGACTATGTCTCTCTAAAAAAAGTTTTACCCAGTCGTTACCAGGACTTACCGTCGTTTTTAAATTTAGAGATAATTCTTCCAGTTTTTTCTAAATAACTTTTAGTGAAAAGTTGTACATCTAGCGTCGATAATGGAAATCCCCAATCTGAACATTTGACAATGCAGGACACGATTGATTTTTCCTCCAGCTCCGTCAACGCAGTTTGGCCCCCTGGCTTCTTCACATGCTTCCCTTTGTATTTATTATATAAAGTACCATACGGAATTTTAAATCTTTCTGAAGCGGCTTTAACAGACAAGTTTCCGTTTACTATTTGAAGCAGAGCATGTTCAAGAGTTTCGTCAGAGAAGTTCTTGTAGCTTCTTGATCCCAACTTTCGTTTATAAACTCGCGCCATTTTTTTTTCATGCAGATAATGACGAAATCCTGAAAATAATTAACGGTTTGAAGTTTCATTAAGCAAACTATAAAAAGAAATAAAGTATCAAAGTCACCCCGAAAAATGTATCAAAGTGACCCCGGGTAAGAAATCATTCAATTTCATGGAGTAGTTACGAAAATAAGTTAGGTTAAATATTTTAAAATAGTGACAACTAGACCTACATTAAGGCAACATACACAAAATTACCTGCAATTCTATTGTAAGAGCTGTATGTTTAAATTTAGTAACACAATATAAAATCTTCAAATTCAAACAAAAACTTCAATGGTGAATTTACAACCATATACTTTTGATATTGGCCACAAACACCTTTTTCTATAGTGAATCAACATGTGCACTGAAATAAAGTTCAGACAACCACAATAACGGACGAAACATTTGGGTTGTATACTCTCTTGAAACAAAATATTCATGTTTTATCAAAGTCACCCCATTCTACGGTATATAAAAACATTAGGTTAATATTTTCAACTACTATAAAAACAATAATTGTTTCAGATTGCTGTGTTCCCCATCTTCGAAAACCGAAGAAGAACTTCAAGACGTTAGTGACTCTGTAGCAAAGAATGAAATAGCAGTTGAAGCGATTTCAGAACGCTTATTCGAAATCACTGCCTTGGCAGAGGAGCTAGACTCTGCGATACAAAGTGCTCAACAAGATTGCTTAGTCTTTACAACTTCTATTTCCACTTCGACATCTTCGTTAAGTGACCATATTTCGCCGGACACTTTGAGAAAAGAGATGGAGTATCCGCCGCCGGTGCCTGAGGTAAGTGAACATATTCATTTAATCATCAGCAGTTTTGTTTTCTGCCAAATTTATTGCTTTTAACCCTACGTTAGGCGCGTGAGCTACAATGATAGCCCAATTTATTAATGAATTTTAATTGGTGGATTTATATCAATTTAAGTAAAAAAGTTTAAAAATTAATAGTTTTATATTGGAATTAGACGATAATATGAAAATAATATAAAATAAACAATGAAAACTTCTAAAAAATTTAAATAATACTAGCGGACCAACTCGACATCGAGTTTTTTAAATTAAATTTTTATTTTGCGAGAAAAATTAAGAGATTAATACAAACAATATAAGCAAGAATATACATAACATTCATCAATAATAATGCAAGTAAAAAGTGTATTAAATATCACGAAATATTTGGTCGAAAACAATGTTTTTTGTTACAATGTCTCCATTTTCTGAAAACTTTTGCTTGGCACCAAGCTGAAAATATTTACAGAAAACCTACCCAAACAGATCCCGTTATACATGACACATCTAATCATCCAACCCAACATAAAATGGCTGCTTTCAACAGTTACATTGATAGGTTACTTAAATTTCATTTTTCTAATGATAATTTTAATTTAGAACTCAATACTCATTACTCTTAGGTTATGATCCTAACATTCAATAATATAGATTCACTGATCTGGGCAATAAGTTTTATCATAAACAAATCTAATTGTTAAAGTCAGGTTCATTAATAAGTTATTATTCATTACTACAAGCAAACAAATTTTATAATTTCACAAATTAAAAATTACATTAATTTCGGAACATACTGAAATCCTGTCAAGTTTAGCTGTCTCTAAGTTATCTTCTGTGACATCAGCCATTTGGTCTGTGTCGTCGCTTCAACTGACAACGTGCAAGTACTCGAGCTTAGGAGACATGTAGTCCCTAAAGTAAGAAAATTTTACGTTTTAAATACATCCATTGTCATCGACCTACAGTATCAACATTGCCTAATGTAAGGTGTGACACTTTACCAACTCAAACATGGAAGTCTTATAGACACCATATTTATATAGTTAGCAACAAGTACTAGGCGCTGAAGATGATCCGTAGTGATCGAAAACGTTCTGCCATAACTTTAAATGTGACGACACTTTTTTAAAAAGTTTTAACTTGTTTGTTTGTTTTATACCTAAATACACATTTGTGAAGTGTTTTAACTTCTGTGTTTTTTTTAAACGATGGTATACAGCCAATTACGGGGTTTTTCCCATTAATTTTTTTATTTCATTAGAGACTATAAAGTGTAAACGCATGCCAAAAATATATCACTTGAGAAAGGCAATCAGCCGAAACAGCTGTAGTGATAAGATTAAAACAAATTTTTGTGGAAGTTTGAAAACAAAGTTTTCAGTATTTTATTGTTACATAAAATGAATTTCCATCAAGTAACGGTCGAATCCATCAATTACTTAGAAAATATTCTATATAATTTTATATTTCATCATTTGATTTCCTATAGTGGTGTCAGTTGGATCTTTGGTCAATACTTAGTTTCATAGAATTTTGAAAGGTGCAGATCACATATCTATGATTGTAACTGCCCTTTTCAAGCTGTCATTTGTCACATGTCATCTCAACATTTCCGCTAGACCGTGAGCCATTCTGTCTCCGGCTTCTTTATACCATGTAGCTTCGCCTATCTTCAAAATTTTAAAGTGTTTGTTTGTCTCTGTGTAGTGTATTGTTATGTCCTATTTTATATTTATGGCATTCCAATCTTGTCGGATAGGCCGCAATTGACGAAGTAAGTCTATAAACGTTTATCACATAAAAACTCTTATCAATCATAAACTTCAAGTTTTTATCGAAGCTAATTAATTTCTTTAGTTGATATATTTATATATTTAGTCGATATTTGCCTTGTATATTATCAAAGTACAGATCTTAATGTTAAAAGAAACAAAGAAGCTGTCAAGCAAAACTTAAAAAACAAGCAAAAATATGGTGGTGTTCAATTTGCGAGACAAAAAGAATTAAAGACATAATCCAATGCACCAAATGCCGTTCATGGATCCACGAACTTTGTAAAGGAGTCCAACCTGGAACCCAAACTTTTTCTTGCTTTGAAAGATTTACACTAAAATTTATTTTATTATAAACTTATTCCTTTATATAGGTTACTACGGGTTCAATTAAGGAAACCCATGGAACCATAAGGCAACTAGTTTTCTAAATTGTACCACTTGCAATCTACCAGGGAAACATACTTTCGTAACAGTAAAATCAATGATATCAAATTACAAAAATTATCATGTGTGTGCAAATGTTTATTATTTATTCTAATACAGTGGAACCTCGATTATCCGTCAGGGCACCGGACCAAGGGTATGACGGATAATCGAAAAGACGGTTAACAGAACGTTAAAAAAATTCATAGTATAACTCCCAAATTTTATTTGTATGTTTTATTTGACAATATAAGAGCGATTTATGTTAGTACACTCGAATCAATTTGATTTAAATTATTCCGAAATCTGTGTTTGTTTTATTGTTACTTTACATTTTGCAACAGCTGAATTTCTTAATCGACGTACAATCACCAAATCTACCTTATTTGCTTCTTCTTGCCTAGAATACCACTTGATGAATTGTTGTATTTGCGATGCAGCTCCTCTAGCTTATTAACGCAAATCTTTGTGAGTTGTAATAGCATCATCAACATCGCCACCATCAAAGTTTCTGTCAACTTCTGAATCAGTTTCGTCCCCCTCGGTTGGCATTGCCGATTTCATCATCTGTCAACAAATCGGTAGCCGTTTGCGTCCTCATCACAAATCAACCATTCGTGTATGTCATCTTTAGGCTACGAAACAAACCAGGTGATTCAGCCATAACTACATTTAAGGGGAGCATTTTCATCTTAAGTTGATTCAGGCCATAATTTATTCCACGCTCTTTTCAGCGTTACTTTCGAAACATCAGCCCAAGTATACACAGCATTGTCGACTGCGTGTTTTAAATTGTATGCTTTCCAGTATTCTGGCAAAGAATATTACTCTTCCATAACTAGGTTTTGAATAAACTTTTTTCTGTATCTTCTTTAGAATGTTTTAATAACCGACTGATCCATTGGCTGTATCATTGATGTTGTATTCGCAGGCAGAATAGAGTACGTGATATTTTTATCGTCACTCCGCAGCATACCGGCTTTAGAATTGGCATGTTCATGTCCAAAATAAGAATCGTCTTTGGTGGAAAATTTTTTGCAAACAAAATGAATTGATGACTAAACTTTTACTTATGTTGTCAATCTAACTTATGTATGGACCCTGACGGTTAACAGAGGTGACGGTTAATAGAGAGACGGATAATCGAGGTTCCACTGTATCTACATAATATCTGACGTAGGTATATTATTCAAATTATAATTCGTTAAATAATAACGTTAAGTTTTCAGTTACTTCCCCAAAGATACATTTAAAAATGTTAAAATAATAAATTCCTTAGTATGAGTCAACAACTTTTATTGCGAAAAATCAAAACAAACTTAACCTAACACATAAATAACAACATACTACATAGGTAACATCAAAGGGCCAGTCTCATATAAGCGTTTTGCTCTTAGTATCCTCCATAACCTCCATGATTCGCTTTGCCTTCATATCGTACTTTATAGTCAGCTCCATGTTTACCAGCAACGTATTCAACAATCCTTTTTCTTCCGTCAGGTTGGAGAAGTTCATAACGGCCCTTAGTTTCTTTGCCGTCTCTGACTTCATGTTGGCTCTTAATGTCATGGTGTTTTAAATCGTGGACGTCATAATTAAAGTGGTATTTTGGTTCTGCCTGAAACAAAATAAAAGGATGCGTGACCACAAAAAACACTTTGGTCAATATTGTTAAATGGTAAAAACTCGAGCTTCACCTTATCTATATGGTCGGTATAGTAACATAACATGCCTGAGTATGCTAATAGAGACCTCTATATGGAGCAACAATGTCAGGAGATCCCTCTTCGATGATGAATTAGATACCCTTTTATTCCGACAATGCATCTAACATCTTTGGCACTCTTTCTTCTTTGTCGCGTGCCATATCAGAATTATCCGACGTTGAAATCACCATTGCGAAGGCTTCTCGATCTTCTGCAGTATGCAATAATTATCCTGCATTTGATATCTGAGTCCATTCACGAATGTTTTTTAACCAAGAAACTTGTTTTCTTCCTACACATTTACGGCCCTCTATTTTGCCTTTAAGGATCAATTGTAATATTTTATATCGACTTCCCCTTACGATATGTCCGAGATAAGAGATTTTTCGATGTTTGATGTGTTTAACAGTCTTTAGCAGTTCTCTATCTTTGCTGACGCTCCTTAGTACTTCTTCATTAGTTTTCCTTGCTTTCCAAGGTATCGTCAGCGTTCATATATGAACTCACATTTGGAATGTTTCAATTTTGTTCATGATCGATATTTTTAGCGTTCACACTTCTTCACTATACAAAAGTCCAGACCAAACATAACACTCTTTACGTAGAGAAAAGACGTTGACAGGAAAGTAGACGATTGCATTACTTTTCAACAACCATATAGATTAGGAACACTTTACTTCAGTTCGAGCTACAAGTATCCCTGTAGAAATTTAAAACTCTGAAACGCATGTAGAATAATGGTGGAGCTCAAATTGATAAGAAATGCAATCCTCTAATTCGTGGAAAAAGCGACCGATCAAATACAGAATACATAGACATCTTGATAAAGACGTAACAGTAAGTGGTAAACAAACAAACAAAAAACCCTATGTGAATATCAGCAACATTAATAGAACTTTTGGCTAGTCTAATAGATCTTAGCTGACCAGAGCTAAAGGTGCTTACACATATGATGACTAAACTGTTAACTGAGGAAATAGTTCTATAATATAGATAAAGTGAATGAATCGTGACGCAGAAAATGCGAACTATAGAAAGAAAATATCATACATGTCCTCGTTTTTTATAAATATGGAATGCTTAGTGACATAAGGTAAGCAAAACAACTACTGAGCTAGAACAAATCCTTAAATATCATATAAAAAAGTTACTGACTTTTTATATAAATTATAAGATCGTGATGATAATTAATGAAAAGATAGAGTTTGGTACAAAACTGGACACATGACTTAGTGTCAGAAATAGCAAGTGGTCCGACTGACTTAATAGGAAAATGAGAAGACATAATAAGGAACAAAATCCACAAGGAAAAAATTCCTGTAGCTGGCTGTATACCACGTATCACAAACAAAGAGGTTAGTCTTTGTAAATGGGTATATTTATTTAAAAAAACCTTAAAAGGGCTACATCAATAAAACAAACGTTTTCGGACCACACAGTCCCATCATCAGGTTTTAAAATCGAAAAATGCTAGGTCACAATGCCTATAATAAGGAACAGTAACAACTGACTGACAAAATACGCGAAAATGATAACGGAGATAGTTGATTAATTCAAACTTATGCACATATTTTGCAAGGTATCTATTTAATAATGAAGAACCATCGATCGCCTGGTGATGATGGACTCGTTATCGAGGCAATAAAAGCAGGTGGAGAAATTTTATTAAAATCAGTAAGCGAACTGTTTACTAAATGCTTACATGCGGGTACGATTCCAAAAGACTGAAACAATGCAGTAATAGTCTTGTTACACAAAAAAGGCGATATTACTAAATTAGAAAATTATAGACCCATCAGCCTCTTGACACATATGTACAAACTCTTTATGAAAATCTTAACAAAGAGGCTAACACCTAAACTTGATTTCTATCAGCCCAAAGAACAGGCAGGCTTCAGGGCAGGATATGGCACAAATGACCATTTGCATACCATAAAGATCTTAATCGAAAAGTGCATCGAGTACAACATACCACAGGTTCTTGCATTAGTCGATTACGAGAAGTCTTTTGATTCTGTAGAGTTTGAAACAATACTGGAAGCCCTAAATCAAAGCCGAATAGATTACAGGTACACGACACTAATCAAAAACATCTATCAGAACGCTACATCAAGTATACGACTGCACGAAGACACAGAAAAATTCAGCTTAGGTCGAGGAGTTAGACAAGGAGACAATATTTCACCAAAATTGTTCACGGCAGCTCTAGAGTCAATATTTAAGGGTACTCAATCGCAAGATATGGGGCATCAATATAGATGGAGAAAGATTAAATCACCTAAGGTTTGCAGATGATGTTGTATTAATCGCAGATAACTTACATGATACAGTTTCTATGATGCATTCGCTTAAAAGTCTGTCTGAAAGAGCAGGATTAAAGATAAACTTTGAGAAAACTAAAATTATAACAAATCTCCTAATCAGTGGAAATATAACTATTGACAATAATACCATACAACACACAGACACTTACAAATATCTGGGACACGAAATCAAAATAAGCAGAGACAATCAAACACATGAAATACAGAGGCGAATAGGTCTAACATGGGCAGCATTTGGCAAATTAAGCCATATTCTAAAAAGTTCAATTCCCATGTGTCTCAAGCGAAAGGTTTATAACCAGTGTGTTTTACCTGTACAAACTTATGCAGCAGAGACTTTAACACTCACGCAAAATCTGCGAATAAACTTAGAGTTACACAACGAGCCATGGAACGTGCAATGCTGAACGTGAGCCTTCGAGACCACATAACAAACCAACAATCAGGCGAAGATCAGGAGTTCAAGACGTCATCGAAAGAACCACGACGCTTAAGTGGAACTGGGCAGGGCACTTAGCCAGAACACAAGATGGACGGTGGACAAGACGTATTATGGAATGGAGGCCCAGAAATTATAAAAGAAGCCGAGGACGACCACCGACTAGATGGACCGATGACATTAACGTGTAGCGGGAAACTGGCTACAAGCGGCCCAGTGTAGAGAACACTGGAAAGAACTGAGGGAGGCCTATGTCCAGTAGTGGACGCGATTGGCTGATTGATGATGATGATCTAGTTAATGTAAAATAAACTTACCCTGTAATCAATGTACTCTTGTAAATGTTGATGATCTCCTCCGTATTCGAGTCCCCCATGTCCATAGTTACCATAATGGTCTTGACCATAGACTGTGGCTACTGCGATGGCGAAAAAAGAGAGCAACCTTAAAAATAGAGTCTTTTATTTAATTTCACATTGACGTTAGAACATTATATTTTAAAAACTGGAATACAGTTAGTGTAACACTGTAACGTTAGAGGCCTGCCTAGTTTATGATTCAGGAAAACATAATATATTTATTAACTTAGAGACTTGGATATTCAAAAAATTAAGAATGCACTGAAATCTTAGCAAAGAAAAATTTAAAGAACAATTTATGGAGCCATAAATGTTAATGGAGTATGGAAATAACGTTTGAATTTTGAGCTACACCACTTAGATAGAGAACGAAATATTATAAAAATAATTTAAATAAACATAGAGATGTGTGGGACATTTCTTAAGGATGACAGATAAAGACCCGGTTTAAAAATCAATGTTTAAACAATCTGTAAAATAGAGGCCGCGGGGAAGTTCAAAAAACGCTTTCTGAACGATGTTGAAGCAGATCTACAGGTTCTGAGAATAAGGATATGCAGAAGCATAGCTTTGAATAGGGGTCGCTGGAAAAAACTTTTACAAAAAGTCAATCCTCATCAAGGGCTGTAGAGCTATAAAGAAGAAATTCTTATAGCAGATTATTACCTAAATCTGTGCTTTCAACAATTTTCAAAGCAAAACAGATGGTGAATGGACTGACATGTGACATGCGGAATCTAAAAATTTGTATTCCACGGCATATTGATTCATCTAGGCAAGAACCTTTTGTTAACTAGTTGCTTATACTCAAAAGTCCTTCTATCTATACAGCCCTTAACATCCATCCTTGGATATAGGCCTCCTCCTCCTTCTTCCATGCCTCTCTATCTTGGGCAATTTGCATCCATTTTGACCCGGCGTGTTTCTTCAGGTCATCTGACCATCGCATTTGTGGCTTTCTCCTTTTACGTTTGTGATTCCATGGTCTCCAATGTATAATTGTTTTAGTCCATCTTTCATCTTTCTGCCTTAGGGTGTGTCCGGCGAACTTCCATTTAAGCTTTGCACTTGGGTTGAGATATCTTTCACTTTTGTTTTATTACGGATCCACTCGTTTCTTTTTTTGTCTGATAGTTTAATGTTCAGCATTTGTCTTTCCATGGATCTTTCTGTCTTTGCTATTTTTTCCATATTTTCCTTTGTAAACGTCCATGTCTGAGAGCCATATGTGAGGACAGGGAGTATACATTGATTGAAGACTCTCGTTTTTAAGTATTGCGGGTATTTTGAATTCTTTAGAATATAAGACAGTTTTCCGAATGATGCCCAGGCCAATCTTATTCTTCTCTTTATTTCTTCGGTCTGATTTTCTTTATTTAATTTAGTGATTTGGCCTAGATATATATACTCTTTTACTTGTTCTATTTTTGTTTGTGCCACTGTAATTATAAGTTCTTCTGGTTGATTAGTCATGGTTTTTGTTTTACTATAATTCATCTTGAGTCCAATTTTTGTCGATTCTCAGGACCAAAAGTCCTTATCAGGACTTATTATACTGACTTTGCAGAAGTCCTGAATTGAGTTTATGTTCTTATGTTTATTATTTTACAGACCGGTGTGATTATTAGGATTCTTCAGTAATTTTATAGAAGAACAGCAACAATGACAAAAAAAATGGTCCATGAGGGGAATCAGAAGTCAGAATTGCATACTGGATCGTGGTCAATAAAGACCTGAGGATATTAATGAAAACTCTGCAGTTTTAGAATTTAATAGAAATTTTTCGAAGGCCATTGTATATTATCCAAAATGCAACTGTGTCTTTGAATTTTGAATTGGAATTGATTTGATTACTGATTTGTCATTGATCTGTGCCGAAAAGTATTAGGACTCTAGAAAACTGAAAGATACAAACAAATAATGGTAAAAAGTTGACTACATGTGTAAATATACATACTACATATATATATATATATATATTATATATATATATATATATATATAAATATATATATATATATATATATATATTTAAATATATATTGATAATCTCACTTAAAATAATTAATCCTTAATCTTTTAAGTATTCCATTTAATTGGACTGCTGGTTGCGTGTGATAAATTTGATGTACTTAACAATATTAGACCGACGAAAATAATCAGCTAAAGTGTTTTCAAATTTATTAAACTAAATTGGACAGTCTGTATAATTCGGCTATCTTTATTAATTTTTTTTAACGTCTGGTATCCTTGAATCCTTTAATCTTGAAAACAAAATATTGTGGTAATTTTTTACATTGCCAAATTTCTTATATCATCAACATACTTAACGAGTACGTATTTGTCAGTCACATATTAATAGCATTAGGGAAACATATGTATGTAATAAGACACTACATATTTTCTGCTTGTTGCATCATTTGTTAAAAACGGTAAGATTAATTTAGTTATCAGTTGAATGGTTTTAACTCTAAAATCTACGGATAAATGCAATTCTACATTACTAATTAATGTGTGCCACAAATATTTACACAAATTTTCAATCACAGAGTAAGTATCCGTACAGAAAATAAGACGTCGTCAAACTCAAGCACAATTATTATACTAATATTTTCCATATAGATATGATAACAAATATTGAAAACAAAAGCAAACATATCGAAATGATTACCATCACTGAACGGCTAAGCCGGATAAGCGAAAAATTCGTACTTCCGATCAACACCGGAAAATCAAAAATAATGATCGTTGACAGAGCATATAATAATCTACCGCACACACATCAAGTGGCAAATTTCGTAATGATAGACAGATTTATATACTTTTGCTCCCTGATAACCAATAATGATGATTCTTCTTCTTCCTATGCCGTCCCCATTAACGGAGGTTGGCGACCACATTTTAAAAGTTTCTCTGTCTTTTGCAATGTGAAATAGTTCGTGTGCAGTCATGTTTGCCCAGTCTCGAATATTGCTCAGCCATGACTTCCTCTTTCTATCTAATCCCTTTTTGCCATCGACTCTACCCTGCATGATGGCCTGCAGAAGACTATATTTATCATTTCTCATGAGCAATGATGATTGCTCCTCAGAAATAAAGCGTAGACTATGCCTTCGAAATGTGGGTCTGTAGAAGAATTATACGCGTGTCCTGGATAGAACATAGAACCACCCTGTTAATAATTCTGGAAGAGCTTCATATAAAAGACAGGCTATTAAAAAAAATAATAAACCGAGCATATCTAATTTACTTCGACTACATAGCTAGAAGAGCGGAAACCATGAAACTATTGGTAGTAGAAGGAAAGCTAAAAGATCGAAAACTAAGAGAAAGATCAACAACACAACGAGCAGACCAAATGAAGATTCTGGTGGAAAAATTCTTCATGAAGCCGTCCATATTGCACAGGATCGCAGCCAATCGAGGCGCAAGCCAATAATATTTAGAGTGTCAACACGCCCTGACAAGGGCTCAAGGAATGAGGTGAAGTAGGAAGTTTGATAACAAAATTTACTTTAAATCAATTTGTATCCAAATATAACGGAAGGTAATTTATGTCCATATTGCACAGGATCGCAGCCAATGGAGGCGCAAGCAATAATATTTAGAGTGTCATACGCCTGACAAGGGCTCAAGGAATGAGGTGAAGTAGGAATATATATATAGGAATATAACGGAAGGTAATTTATTGATGAAAAATATTTGTGGTCTTCCTACTGATCGTCTTTCTATTGTAAAACCGTCTCTGACCGTCTTAACTACTCTATTTATTGTTATTCGGAATATTATATGATCGTTCCATTCTACTCTTCTATTTCTTACCCAATTTTTGATATTCTCCACCTTGCATATTCGTCTTGGTCTTTATATTCTTCGTATATCTGTAGTTTTAGCTATATCCCATAGTGTCTTATCATCGATTTTTCTTGCGTTTTCATCTCTGCTATTTTAAGCATTCTTTTTATTCTATCTGTATCAGATCGTGTTTCTGCTGCGTGCCGTTATTGGTCTGGTGACATTGTGAATTCTGCCTTTCATTTCTTTTTCCATAATCTTTTTCTCCCTATCGTCTTATTTGGCAACCTGCGGCTCTGTTTACTCTGTTCACTTGATCTTCCACTTTTGTTTCGAGCTTTCCTTTGTTAGATAGTGTAATGCCTACATTTTTAAACTCCATCACTTGTTTTAATATCTAACCCTTTAGCTCTAATTTACAACTTAGTAGATTTGCTGTTATAACCATGCCAACAAAGAATCTTGTAACACATAATTTTATGCTCAGGATTTTCGATCTGCAGGCAAGCATTGCATTATCGATAAGTGTAGGCTTTCGTAGCGAATAATAAATAGACGAACAGCGGTGGGCGACTCTGCTGCTCTTCGATGTTAGAAATAAATAAATATTTTGCAGAGAAAAGAGGTGATGCAGGCATTGGAGGAGAGGTAGAGTCCTAGCTATCTGATGCCATATCCGACGCCATGAAACCTGGGATATGACAGAATACGGAGAAGGTACAACTCCTTTCGCGTTTGTGGATAATCTCGCTGTACTGGTAGCAGTCGGGAAGAACCTGGTAGGCTAAAGGCTGGTAGGACCAGTACGGGTGGTAGCTCGGAAGACAGCAAAGAGTGCGGCAGCGCTGCTGAGGGTAATGCCTAATATTGGCGCATCCAAATCTACAAATCCAAATCTAAAAAAACTACTGTTTCGAGTAGTTTGCACTTCCAGGACTATAACTGCGATGGCCTTGTGGACTATCACAGGTTGCGTTCCTCTGCATGTGTTAGAAGTAGAAAGGAGACATCTTTATGAGAGAAGAGAGCATTTGACTACAGCCATAAGAAAATAAGATAGGGAAAGATGAATGGAAAGATGGCAGGAAGAGTAAAACAGCTCAGAAAATCTTGCCCAGTGGAATAAGATGCTGATCTCGAACTTAACGAACTGGGGGGACTGTGGTTACAGGCAACTGCATTACTTCCTGATGCAAGTATTCACACAACACGGGTGTTTTAGGTTCAGAAAGATAGATACAGACAAATGCCTATACTGCGAACACCCCAAGACTGTTACTCACACAATG